AAAATAAAATGAAATTGCTGTGTGTACCCAGGGAATACTACCCTGAGTGTATGACAAGTGGGTCCAAGGGGCCTAGTTGACTGGGTCAAAGGAGTTAGTCAGCAGAGGTTGACATGTGGGCCAGCTGCTGACTTAGCAGGTCAACTATTGGTTGTTGACTGGTCAGTTTGACAAGTGGGGACCATGTGTCATTGGCATTGGGTTATTAGATTAGTTAAATAGATTAATTAGGTTCAGGTTAATTAGGGAGGGTCCACATGTCAGTGCCTGTTTAGGTGTTCGGGTTAGTATTAAAACAAGGATTACTCACGCGCCACGTCAGCACGTTAACGGCGGCGAGGCCGAGCTCGCCGGTGACGACAGCCCGCTCGCGTCCGGCGACCATTCAAGGCGCAGTTTAGTCCTCCACGATCCTGAGCTTGAGTTGCATCCTTGGGTGGTGGCAGTAGGCACGGGGGCGGCCGGAGTTGAGCTCCACGTCAAAAATGGCGGCGAATGGAGCCACGGGCTTGATGCGAGCGAGGCGCGGGCGATGCGGCGGGTTCGGGCGCGGCCAGGGGCACACGCACGCGGAGGGGCGCGCGGGCAAGTGCAGGCGGTGGGGCGAGCGGTAGGGCGAGGCTGGGCGAGGGAGAGCATGGGCAGGGGGAGCGCGCGGTGGTTGTGGTGGGCGCGGGTAATAGGGAAAGGGAAGGGGGCTCACAGAGCCGTGTAGTTGGGCGAGGCAAGCTCGAGGAGGAGTCAAGGCCGGGCGATGGGACAAGGAGGCGGCGACGGGCGGTGGGGCGACGGCGAGGTGGCGCCGGTGTCGGTGAGCGGCGGCGAATCATGCGGACGAGGTCGAGGGAGGGTGCGAGGGTGGATTGGGGGAGAGTGGGGGGATTAGGGTTAGGTGCGATGGGAGGAGAGGCCATATAGGCCGGTTCAGGGGTTGGCCCACTGGGCCGGCCTGTTGGGCCGGTTGGCCCGGGGGGGATAGTTTCTTTTTTTCTAAAAAAATATGTTTTGTCTTTTTCCTTTTATTTTTTCCCCTTTTTTGCTTTCACTTACTTTTCAATTTAATTTAGTTTTGTAAAATATAGTAATAGTATCTAAATTGGTATGATTAATTATGCCACTGCCACAAATAATTTGGCACCTTAAATACAAATAGTTAGTATTTTTTATTATTTCAAAAGCATTTCAATAATTGCTTAGCCCCTGTTTTATTTATATCGGTGCATTTAAATACTTTATAGAAAGATGATTTCTCCACCACACTTACCTATGAATTATTTGCCACATTTCGAACACTTTAGTTTTGACATTTTGAAAACTTTAAATTTTGACTTTAACTTAAATTTGAATTTAAATGAGATTTGAATCAAAGTGAGATTAGCAACAGTAACTTTGATGATGTGGCATCATTAACGCGGGATTAGTGTAGCTTAATTATCCGGGCGTCACAATTATGCACTAGCTCGAGTGCCTCGTGTGAATGATGAGATGATTGGTTCAAAAAAGATGGAGGCCGCACCAAATGTCCAACGGATGGAGTTGGACGAAACACTAGCTCATGTGCCTCATGTGAATGATGAGGTGACTGGGCCTAAGTATGTCAACTAATCTGCTTTGTCTACGGATAAGGAAGATATAAGTAATGCTACTATGAATCTCACCGAGAGTTTGATCCTTGCTCAGAATGAACGATGGCGGCATGCATAACACATGAAGTCGAACGAGAAGTGGTGTTTCTCGTGGTGAACGGATGAGTAACGCGTATGAACCTGCCCTTGAAGGGGGAAAACAAATGAAAACGATTGCTAATACCCCATGGGTTAAGGAGCAAAAGGAGAAATCCGCCTAAGGATATGTAGAATATCCTTTTAGAGTTTGTTTTCATGTTTTTTCAACACTAGCAAAAGAGCCCGTGCGTTGCAACGGGAAAAAACCACATGTCCCTAACACAATTATCATGACTGAAGACCTCAATGGGTTCGCGTGCATCCCATCTATGTTGCCGCTTATCCTTATTCCCACAATTGTCGACGGTGGCCACTCACATGATCACAACACGTTTAAATATGGTCAATTCTAAGGTGTATTTTCTTTCTCTCCACATAAAATGAGATACCTACCTTTCCACCAGTGTATGTGTGGTTATAAATGGTTTCTTTCTTCTCCACACTGATTTTGCCGAGGTGTTTATTTTCAATCTGGATCTACATTGGTACGAAAGAAAGACGAATCGTGCCCTATTGATTAAGATTGTCCTCTAAATAGCATTGAAAAAATGTTTAATAGGTAAAACAACATCATATTCAGATTTTACACATTTTTCTAATCAACTTTTATATATAATATGTTAAAATTGGAGTTATGGTTTACAAGATATGAAAATGAATATATTTTTAAAAAGCATTTGAATCGCATTTTTCAAAATATTTAACAGGTAAAATTACATCATATTTAGATTGTGCACATTTTTCTAATCAATTTTCATATATAGCATGTCTAAATTAGAGTTACGATTTAAAAGATATCTTTACCTACTAATAAACCACGCATCGCTTCTGGTGGTACATCATAAAAACAACCCTTGAAGTTGGCAATAATTACCCACCAATGCCACCCGTAAGTGGCAAAAACGATTTGTTTTTAATTTCTAATATCGCTCCAGGGTTCTGTTATTAAAGGTGGATACGATATAATAGCACCAATGCATGAGCAGTGCGGTGGCTGAGGCAATGATGCACCACACAGGAGACCAGGGTTCAATCCCTGGTTCTCACGCTTTTTTCTCTTTCTTTTTACCAAGCGCAGTAATGGGCCAGCCCATGTGCGGGTCGTGGCGCCCCCTGTTTTCTATATCTTTTTTTTATTTCTATTTTGTTTTTTTCCTAAAAATAAATTTCGGATTGATGGCGCCCCCTATTTTTTATTTCTTTTTACTTTTTTATTTCTGTTTTGGTTTTTTATCTCAAAATTAATTTCGGATTTCCAAAATATCAAACAATTGCGAGTTCTGAAAAAAAGTAGGAAAATGGTAAACTGTTTGTGAATTTAAAAAATATTCTAAAATCAAAAAATGTTCACGACTTAAAAAATTGCTCACAAATTATAAACAAATCACGATTTCTAATGATTTCATGAAATAAAAAATGTTCATGATTTTTTTAAATGAGCCAATATTCAAAGCATATTCAGGAATTTAAAAATCATGTCCATCAGCTTTTAGAAAATGTTCACAAAAATTAAAACACATCCGTAAATAATGAACAAAACTAATTGTAGGTTCCATAAAGGTTTTATTAGGAGATCTATATAGCTCGTTTTATGATTTTATTTAGTCCTTCGCGTTGGGTAAAAAAGGGTTTCCGTGTTTTGTACAACGCTGAACCCAACAAAATTGACATAACTTTCTAAGGGTTTGTTTTTGTAAGCTATATTAAAATGACTAAATGTCTATTTTGCTTCCATACATAGTTATGCTTATTTTCATATCACAATAGTGGTTATGGTAAACACCGCTACGCTAAGTCCAGACGAGACACTTTATTTATTAGTATAGCTCAGGCAGGGTCCGTCAATGCAGTTTGCTCAGCCACAAAAAATTTTGTTGTGACGCCTTAAAAAATCAAGTCTTGATGAGCATCATATTGTTCATTTTTGAAATTACATTTTAAAAGTGTCTTATCGCATCATGACATGATTTGTATATACTTTGTGAATTTGATTCATACTTTTTTATATCTACCACACATGTATAACTTGATAGTTTTTTTCCGTTGCAAGGCACGGGCATTTCCAAAAATGTTCGCTAAATCAAAAAAAGTTCGTCAAATTCAATAACTATTCCACCCAATTTCTAAATATTTTCATCGATTATAGAATGTTTGCCAGTTCAGGAAAATTGCTTAAAAATGTTCACAATTTTTAAAAAATGTTTGTAAATAGCAAAAAATATTCATAAATTGAAAAAATGTTCTTGATTGTAGAAAATGTTCAGAAATTTGTAATAGTATGTTGTTTGCGATTTCAAATATGTGCATGAGTTTAACAAATTGTTCATAATTTCAAAATGTTCATGATTTCGAGAAATTGAGAGAGATATTGTATCTCGGTGATGCAACGAAATGTGATCATGACCATTTGAAATTATGAATTTTTTTCTCCCGTTGCAACGCACGGGCCCTTTTGCTAGTTATATTTCAAAAAGTTATTTAAATCTGCCCAAACATAATAGATGGACGGCGGGTTGATTAACCAAACGATCAGGGGGTTTTCCAAAAAAGATGATTTTTTAAACTTAAAATAGGACCTCAGGTTGATTAACTAAAAGTACAGTTTTTTTTAAAAAAACGGAAAATGAACCGGTTTTTCTCACTTAACATTATACCACGGGTTGGTACTTTTTGTAAAAGTGACAACGGACGACAGAAGCAGCCCTTGGTACGTAACATGCATCTTTCTCAACTTCAGGGTTTGCCAGTGAACGATTGGGCCTTCTGCCCGATCCGTCGCATGTACTTATATCCAGATACTGTACATGCACGGTCACACACAATCTTGGATTGTACTCCATACAAGCACACCTCGCACTTGCAAACATCAGATACCAGCTGGTAGATGTATGTACAATAACCACTACAGAATTTCGGTAAGATTTATAGGAAAAAGGGGCAATTTTGTATATAAAATAAGTTTGATACTGGATTTATAAGAAAATGAGAAACTATGTAGATATTCATATAAGATAAGTTAGATACTAGACATATGGCGGCTTGTACAGATGAGAACTTATACGCGCATAAATTACACACTGGGGGCCTGGGGCTCCATATTCTACGCCCGAACAAAGGGCTTGTTTGGATGAGGCGCTACTACACCGAATCCCTTAAACTAAACAAAATTCCTTGCAAATCTCTAGGAGTTTGATCCGACACATGCCCATCCAGAAAATACCCAAGGGGATGCAGTCTCATTCTCATGCATGAGCATCAAGAACCTGAGCCTCATAACTAGTTTGCAGAATCGTCATAGGGAGAGACATAGCCAGGCAACCACATAATCCTGTATATCTCTTGAATCCCACCTCTGGTTTTCAACAGATTAACAAAATAGACCAAGCCTTGCCTTCCATACTTCTTCACGCCAGCAACATCGAACAGGAATGCACAGATGTAGAGGAGGAGAACCGGCATCCTATGTCATGAAACGATATTCAGTTAGTGATTGAGTGAGCCATATCCAAAAGAAATGCATGAAAAAGATAATTGTATTGTTTCATTTAACTGACAAAGGTCAGAGCCAACTCCACTCGACATCATATTGATACAGCAGATACAAAATTTAGATGCTTACATGAAGTATGGCTCGGGAATGCATGTCCTACAGAGTTTAACCAAGACTTGGTAGACTACTGAAATCGGATTACAAACATGTATATATCTAGTAGATAAGATACATAAGAAAACTGACAGATAGAACAGAAAGAGTGCTACCCTCTGTTGGGAGGATTGTACTTATCAAGACCATGGCACCGCCAACAAACACTAAGTATATCATATGTTCATGTTAAAGCTCCAATATTAGGCCACAAAGTTAATGATAAGCTTGGCAAAAATTCCAGCAGAGGCACATACAATTTAGACTAACCATGGTGAATGGCAACTCAATGACTGAATGAGATGGCATGACACGTTGAAAGGAAGCATTAGACAGTTTGTGGTTTGCACATTTGTACTCTTTGCATGCAGTGCAATGAGACGAAGGCAGTTTAACAATACATCATGCCTTCTTGGACAAACAGAATTATGAACTGCATTCTCAAGGGGGGAGAGAATGTGGCGATTAAAGATTTCCTGACATACTGGACATGAAGCTAAGTTATCAGGGTTCATGTGGCTGTGAAAACATTGTACTATCTTGTTGCAGGCCATTTATGCTAGGCTAACTGCCCACACCTCATGTGTTGATTAATGTGTGTGACTCATATGCAGTCTGAATACCTTTGCCCCCCTATTATTAGTATAATACAAACAAAGCCCTTAACACTTCTCTCAAGAAGCAAAGTTTAACTGGGGCAGCGGACATGCAGACAACGAAATCCAATAAGGGCAAGAAAAATTGTATCTTCATCTTTCTCATCCATCACTCATCTAGGGCCTGTTCGGTAATCACCCGCTCCCAGAATCTGTGGAGCAGAAAAACCACAATTCCTTCGATTTGAACAGCAGCTCCGCCAACTCTGCTCCCGGAGTTGTGGAGCGGAGGGATACCGAACAGGGCGCTAGTATGTAAGCCTTACTGTTTCCACTTTGTATATGAATTCAACATCATGGATATATATTGTTCTAGTCCCCTTACACATATTATTTTCTAGGGCAATAATGTTTCCCTAAAAATCGCATTTCCAACACAAGGTGCTTGTGGACACCAAAAAGCATTAGCTACCGCTGTATGGTGGACCTATAGGTCCTGAAACATAACTCCTATGATGTTGTACTATTGGTATATCAGCCTGACAAACTATCTAAGCTCTAAAATTTTAATGAAAAAAGATACATAAAAAACAGATTTATGTGATGTATAAACTAGAGGGTAAGTTGCCATTCTAGAGTTTGTAATTCAATGTTAGAAGAATGATATCTGTTGTTCCAAAAATGCAAGTGATGATTTGGGACAAAACTGCCGTGCCTGACTATTAAATGATTTAATAGTTAGACAATACATACTGACCTAATAACATCCAGGAGGACATAGTTTTTCTTGATGTCCTTCCAAACCATGATAAGTATGGTACCTACAATGAGAAGGGGATCCAATGAATGTCCAATAATATGGCTACAAACTAGTATAACTGAAAACCAATTTTAAAAATAAAGAAATACCAAATTTCAGCCGCGTAATCAGGCTGTTGGACTTGTGGCTTCTATGTAGCTCTGAAGATACAACACTGAGCTTGTAGAAGACGAATGCGAGCACTGCATCAACAAATATGGAAGGTGCCGTCTTCCAAAGTTGGTAACAGCCAACACATCCAAGAAATGCACCTACGATTAAACATAATCATTACAATGCGATGGGTTCGGTAGACAGCAAGTCAAAACAATGAACATACACCAGAGCAATTGAAATCAAACGAACCAAATAGGATGCCCAGCTGATAATCCTCAATGTCGTAGACACGGCGGAGCGAAAAGAGTTCCCCTAGATTGCGAAGCTGCGGGCGGAACATGCGTCCGAACTCCGTCTTCAACGCCTCCCATTCCTCGTTCCTGGTCTTCTTCTTACTGACACGCGGCACCTCCATATCAGGAGAAGGACAGGGGGAGCAACGCTGTAGAGGCAGTGCCTTAGAGCTTATGCACCCGAATGAACAATGGAGTTTGGGAGCTACCCGAAAGAAGATCTTACCACTGGCCACGGGCATGAAGCGCCGACGCGGTGGGGGTGGGAGTTGGGCGAGAGGGAAACCCTAAGGCTCAGCTCCCTGGCCCCCGTTCCCGCAGCAAGAAGGGCGCTGCGGCCGTTGAAGGCTCCGCTCCGAGCGGCCGTTGTCCTCTGAGCCGTCAGGTAGGCGCCGGCGCCACCGGAGCCGCCGCCGCCGCCGGCGCACCGGACAGCCAACATCGCAACGGTGTCTCCTCTGCGCTCCCCCCGCTACCTCTTCAGTGGAGACGGACACGGCAGAGCCCCTATTCGGCTCCTTCAGCACCGAATCTTCAATTTGGGCTTCAATCTGGGCACGCTAAAGGATCAAGTGGGCTTTATTCGCGAAGCCCATTAGTCGAACTGTTTCGTTTTGTTGGCTGTTTCCTTCCATTTCGTTGACTGTTTATTCTAGTTTAGCGACTTGACTGTTTGGATGGAATTTTTTAGCGACATTACTGTTTCGTTTCGTTAAACTTCTTCAGCGACTGCACTGTTTCAATGAAAACAGTTGTTGCAATTTTTTTTAAATACCTCATGCTTACAAGTTATCTAGTGTAGCTGGGGAAAGACCCTGGAGTGAGACATATGCTTAAAAACAAGAAAACACTGCTACATGGTATAGTTTTTAGATATTTTTTGATCTATCTGAAAAGAAGGTTCAATTGCTTGATCACTGAAAAAACTTTGGCCTGTTTCTTAAAATTAAAATAGCTCAAAGACTTTTTTAAAAGTTTGTGGAATTGAAAAAGTTCATCATTTTTTAAAAATAGTTCACAAATTTTGACAAAAAAGTTCATGAATTTGAAAAAAAAATTATGTAACTTGAAGAAAATTCTTTGATTTTTTTAAAAAGTTCAACAAATTTTTAAACATTTGTAAAATTTAAAAATCATTAATTTTCGAAAAAGTTTATCAGAAAATGAAAAAATTTCATCAATTTTCAAAAAGTTCATAAAAAAACAAAAGAGTTCATCAATTTTAAAAAAATAATTCATAAATTAGAACAAAATTATCGAATAAGGAAGAAGAGAAAAATGATTTTTTTAACAAAAAAGAAGCCAAAAAGGAAAAATAAAAGAAGAAAGAAAACAAAGGGCAATGATACCATGTACTGGAGTTCCAGCAACACCCAATGATGGGGAGACATGAGACATTCAACCATTATCAGTCATCTATGCGACATGTCGTCAAATGATCATTTGGTGTTCCCAAGATGAAATCGAGAATTCTTAGAGGGATACCACGGTACAAACCAGAGACCCAAAAGATGATTGTCACTGCATGCATGCGCCTCCACAATTGGATTTGTCATACCAAGTTACACGATGAGTATTTTGACAAGTTTGACAATGATGCGTATGTGCAACCTCCATTACCGTGCCAACGCTCTACTACCAAAAAATGACGGTACCATGACTGCAGACGTGAGACTATTACAAGCAATCTCGTACCTTGAATTATTCCTTCTATTTGTAGTTGGCCCCTTTTGTAACGAAGCAAACTTATAACCATTCTAATTGTAATATTTACCACTATGATATTCATAAATCATTTTTTGTGTTTATATTTGACGAGAAACTATTTGAAACAACTAAGTGTTAGCAGTTCAACACACATTTTCAGTTCAGGGACATCACATAAATTTCAGCATAAACTCATCGCACATTCTGAGACAACAATCTAGAAAAGAACTCGACAACTGATTATGTGGATAGTTTCCCAGAATGTGATTCTGGAGAATCAAAAGCTGAAAATAATTGGGCCCAAGAAGGACACCCACAACTTCGACGAGGCGTGGGTCATCATCATCATAGTGAACAATGACAAGTGAAATGTAGGAGATGATGTTGTCGTTGTGATCAAGAAACAATTGCTTAAAATAATTACAATTTGTAACCACATGACACATCATGCTCTCTGTTATTGTATCACCCCCTCTCTTAATCTCTCTAAGATCATTCATGTACATTATCATACCCAGGGCACACATGTCCTCTCTTATTCTCCCCTCGTATTCATACTCGATCTCCCCAACCAAACTCTCAGTCACACTGGGTGTCCAATTATCCATGTCATACTAATCATACCGGATTGAGTGTCCGCTGCAATATTCCTCATGGTTGCTAGTTCCAGCAAAATAACCACCATGATTCATCTCGATTGAGAAGTGATTACTGCATCTTTTTCCTACAACAATAGATCGTTTATAGCCCTTTTGCATTTCCACAAAAACATTACTCCCTCCAACCCATAATATAAGACTTGTAAAACGTTCTTATATTATGGGCCCGAGGGAGTACTATCTAAAGCATGCCTATTTCCCCAACAAGTGTAAATGCCAATGTCCCAAAAGCATAATGATATAACGCAAACATGCTCATGTGTGTTTATGTATACAAAAACATCATTTTTCCTTACCCCATTGGCTTTTAATCAATACCCCCATTTTCTCAAATCAGCAAACCCACAATTTCTGAAAACCTTGAATCCAAAAATTCATATCCCCCCCCCCAATTAATGTCCATGATGAGTCAGTACATTTCACATGCCCAAAATCACTTGAGTCTGAAACCTTAAGCTCACCAAACCCCCAATTTGTTTTCCGTTGTCCTGCATAGTCCTCACCTCGAGCACATCATTTATGGCATGAATAGATAAGGCGGCGAACACCCTAACCAATGTTTCCCTCCCGCCGCCAGAAAATCATGTAAAAGAGGGGTCTTTGAAATCATATCATAAAGCGGTGATGAAGGTCCCTCCCTCCGACATTTTGGAGCAAGTGGCACATCGCCAAGTCCTCTCCCAAACAATGCATATGGGGGCGCATCGACATTGGAAGACAAGCTCATCTCACTGTCGTGGGAGCAAGACGAGACGAGCTCCTCCAACTTGATCGCCTCATGTTTCGACACCCCCCCGAACAAAGGCAAAGGACATGGGTAGGAGTGGATTGGTTAATGTGCGAAGAGGACAGTGGGTTTTATGCAAAACGTTCACGCCATTCGGTCCATGCTGTCCGGCCAAGTGTCGCCCATGTATAGCGGTTAAAATATTTCACTTTATGCCAAGTTAGCAGAATACTGTAGACAAACGAGCGGGGTGACTATAGTGAACAACTTAAACCCCCTACCACGCAAGAATAAAAACCTCTCTAATGGTAATTAGGGTAAGTTAAAATCGAGCGACCAAAGTAATAAGGCACAAGCTCAAGCTCAATTTGAAGTTGGAGTACTATTGACTTATTGAAGCATTGATCAATTTTACTCGTATTTATTCGGCCCGCAGCGCCTATTAACCATTTCCACGCGCAGTGCGTTATAACGAAGTTAAGAAGTTATATCATGTCAGATATTTCTCAACAAAAAAAAGTTATGTCGTGTCAGATAGACAGCTCTGGGCGAATAATGGTTCGATGTCTCGCCGTGCGCTCCCCGTCAACGAAGCTGCTGGTAAGGACGTGTCGTCCTTCCATTGCCGCTCTCTGCTCTCTGCGTTTCTTTTCTTGACATCTTCCGTCGATCACCAATCAAATCCAGGTGCTCTGCTCAGACGCCAAAGGCGGTCCATCCAGGCAGCCGCCGCTAAGCTTTGACTGCAGCAAGAATGGCAATGTTTGCCGTTCTGCTGCTGCTGGCAGCGCCGCTGCTTCCACCGGCAGCAGCGCAGCGGCCGCCGGGGTGCCGGCGGCAGTGCGGCAACGTGACCGTCCCCTACCCCTTCGGAATCGGAGCGCGCTGCCACCGTGGCGAGGGCCGTGGGTTCCGGCTCGAGTGCGACGACACGCGCCACCCACCGCGCCTGACCGTGGCCGGCTACGGCCACGAGGTGGTCGCCATCTCGCTCGCCTCTGCCGAGGCCACCGTGCTGCTCAACGCCAGCCGCGCCTGCTACGACCGCACCTCCGGCTCCGGCCGCGTTCTTGACCGGCGGGAGTACCCCATGGCCCTCAACGGCAGCGCCTTCCTCTTCTCCTCCATGAAGAGCAAGTTCGTGGCCATCGGCTGCCCCGACCTGGCCTACTTCGTGGACGACGGAGGGTACTACGTGACCGGGTGCATGTCGGTGTGCCGGCCGTCGGAGAGCGCGCTGCCCGGGTCGTGCCGGGGCGGCGACGGGTGCTGCCAGAGCAACATCCCGCTGGGTCTGGCCTCCTACCGCCCGCACGTCCGCAGCTTCGGCCGGCGCCAGCAGCAGCAGGGAGGGACGTTCCTGGCCAACTCCACGGGCTGCGCCTACGCGTTCATGGTGGACGCCTGGTGGTTCTGGTACGCCGGCTCCCACTTCAACAGGACGGGCGACTTCGCCGTGCCCGTCGTGCTGGACTGGGCCATCAGAGGCGCCGGCGCCGGAGACTCCTGCGCCACCGTGCGGGAGAACGCCACCGCCTACGCGTGCCGGAGCGCGCAGAGCGTGTGCCTGGACTCGACCAACGGCCCGGGCTACGTCTGCAATTGCACCAGCGGCTACGAGGGGAACCCCTATGTCCTCGGCGGCTGCAACGGTACTACTCTAGCTCGGAAAAAAATTCGGTGGACGCCGGTTGCAAACTGCCGCTCGTGCGTACCCGAGGGGATCTGCAGACACCTGTCCTCCCGATGCATCCGACGGTGCGCTCCAGGTGTTTCTATCCTCGGCTCGTGCGCCCTCGCTCGGCTCCCGATTGAAACGTTCCAGGCTCATTTGCTCGACGCACGCTGACAATCTCATCTCCCCGGCTCATCGTTCCTCGGCTCAGCCATGTGAATGGATCTGGTTTGCACATCGCCGGAGCGATCCCATCGGCATCGGGCCGAGCGGCCATGCAACGTCAGCTATGCCTGAACGCCATGTCGACGAGCAGACTGACGACGGCGGCACTAGCGTCTCTTGACATGTCCTTGCGGAAGGATACAGACCACGCGGAGCTGGTGCAAATGTTGGGCGCATCGCGGTTCACGCCGCAAAGCTGGGCATCCCTGTGTCCCCATGCCAGGCGACGAGCTGGCCGCCATGATCGCACACACCTACGCCGCCGGCGACGAGCTGGCCGCCATGATCGCACACTCCTACGCCGCCGGTGACTGGCGCATGGACGTATAGGTCTGTATGAATTTTTGAAGGGTTGATGTACGGCTGTATGTATGCGATAATTTTACAGTTTATGTAATTGTGTTGTATCATCGAATTTGGTGCTCCATTGAAGAAATTCCCGCACATCG